GTATATATATATATAAAACTGATCCATGTATGTATATGTCATTAACAGCTGGGGTTATGTAAAAGTGCTTTGCCATGAAGGCAATCTGAGTTTATTCTATATTTTATTTTATTTTATTTTATTTTATTTTATTTTATTTTATTTTATTTTATGAATGCTTTCACCATTTGTGTATATTTATAGTCAAAATTACTGTTGCCATGTGCATAAACCTTTTCTCTCGTAGCCGTTGTTGTTGCCATATTGTACATGTTTTGTGTTGACAGCCATTGCTGCAGCCCAACAGCTGAAGAACGCGGGTGTTCACATCCTGACCATTGGCGTGGGAGATGTTGTCAATGTCGAAGAACTGAGCGGTATGGCTACAACACCAGACGACTTCTTCCAGGCCGACAGCTATGAGGTTCTCCACAAGCTTCAGGACGAGGTCACCAACCACACATGTGGCTGTAAGTCTGTACTTTCTTACACCACTCATGTCACCAACCCCACATGTGGCTCTAATTCTTTCTTTCTTTTATTACACCAACTCATGGACCATGTCACCAACCCCACATGTGGCTCTAATTCTTTCTGTTATTCATTATACCATCTCGAGGACCATGTCACCTACCCTACATATGGCTCTAATTCTTTCTTTCTTTTATTACACCAACTCATGGACCATGTCACCAACCCCACACGTGGCTCTAATTCTTTCTTGCATTCATTATACCAACTCGAGGACCATGTCACCAACCCCACACGTGGCTCTAATTCTTTCTTGCATTCATTATACCAACTCGAGGACCATGTCACCAACCCCACACGTGGCTCTAATTCTTTCTTTCATTCATTATACTAACTCGAGGACCATGTCACCTACCCCACACGTGGCTCCAATTCTTTCTTTCCTTTATTACACCAACTCATGGACCATGTCACCTACCCCACACGTGGCTCCAATTCTTTCTTTCTTTTATTACACCAACTCATGGACCATGTCACCTACCCGACACGTGGCTCTAATTCTTTCTTGCATTTATTATACCAACTCGAGGACCATGTCACCTACCCCACACGTGGCTCTAATTCTTTCTTTCATTCATTATACCAACTCGAGGACCATGTCACCTACCTTACATATGGCTTTAATTCTTTCTTTCTTTTATTACACCAACTCGAGGACCATGTCACCTACCCTACATATAGCTTTAATTCTTTCTTTCATTCATTACACCAACTCGAGGACCATGTCACCTACCTTACATATGGCTCTAATTCTTTCTTTCATTCATTACACCAACTCGACGACCATGTCACCTACCTTAAATATGGCTCTAATTCTTTCTTTCATTCATTACACCAACTCGAGGACCATGTCACCTACCTTACATATGGCTCTAATTCTTTCTTTTATTCATTACACCAACTCGAGGACCATGTCACCTACCTTACATATGGCTCTAATTCTTTCTTTCATCCATTACACCAACTCGAGGACCATGTCACCTACCTTACATATGGCTCTAATTCTTTCTTTCATTCATTACACCAACTCGAGGACCATGTCACCTACCCCACACGTGGCTCCAATTCTTTCTTTCTTTTATTACACCAACTCATGGACCATGTCACCTACCCGACACGTGGCTCTAATTCTTTCTTGCATTCATTATACCAACTCGAGGACCATGTCACCTACCCCACACGTGGCTCTAATTCTTTCTTTCATTCATTATACCAACTCGAGGACCATGTCACCTACCTTACATATGGCTCTAATTCTTTCTTTCTTTTATTACACCAACTCGAGGACCATGTCACCTACCCTACATATGGCTTTAATTCTTTCTTTCATTCATTACACCAACTCGAGGACCATGTCACCTACCTTACATATGGCTCTAATTCTTTCTTTCATTCATTACACCAACTCGAGGACCATGTCACCTACCTTACATATGGCTCTAATTCTTTCTTTCATTCATTACACCAACTCGAGGACCATGTCACCTACCTTACATATGGCTCTAATTCTTTCTTTCATTCATTACACCAACTCGAGGACCATGTCACCTACCTTACATATGGCTCTAATTCTTTCTTTCATTCATTACACCAACTCGAGGACCATGTCACCTACCTTACATATGGCTCTAATTCTTTCTTTCATTCATTACACCAACTCGAGGACCATGTCACCTACCTTACATATGGCTCTAATTCTTTCTTTCATTCATTACACCAACTCGAGGACCATGTCACATACCTTACATATGGCTCTAATTCTTTCTTTCATTCATTACACCAACTCGAGGACCATGTCACCTACCCTATATGTCGCTGTTGTCCTAATCACACTGATAATTATAAATCATCAATTTAAGTAAATGTTAACTCCTTTCCCCTTCCCTTTGTCAAAATATTCCAAACTTTGGTGACCTTTGATCGTCTGGAGGAGACACGGCAGATCATAAATATCTAATCCTCCTCATCTGATATTATTATGATCACTTTGTTACTTATATTGCGATTTCTTTTTCTATGGTTACTAGAATTCTATAATTTTATAATCTAGCCCTCTATTGATGTGCCCAGTATTTTTTTTTTTTTTAAAGTCCTTTTCCAGTTTTGATGAATGAATTTGCAACATGTGTTATTCGCGATATCTCAGTTGTTTTTTGTTATTGTTTTTTTTTTTTTTTTAAACCTTGCCCATATTATTCTCATCATTGTTCTCAAAATCCATTTCTGCTCTACCTCCAGCTTCATTGCCGTTTAATTATCTATCGCCATCACTTGTAACCAGAGAAAAGGTCACATCAAAACTTGTCAACAAGGGTGTGTATTTTTTTTCCACCTGAAATTTCTGTTTCTCGGGATCATCACTTTTTTTTAATCTGTGAAAATAGCGATTTCTTTCTCTATCCGTATCCCTGTCTCACGTCTTCCAGAAGTCACTATGTAAAATACTTATTCATTCCGGCATTATATTTGCCTCTGCTATTCCGTTAATTAATTTCCTGCGAGTCTGTATTTTGCTCTATAGGGGTGCTGTGTCTAAATATAAATAAGTCAGATGTTTTGTTCTGGCTTTGTCTGCTCGTTACTGAACCATCTTATTCTGATTTAACGTAACAAAATAATAAGAATCAATTATTTATAACGAAAGTATATACTGTTTTATTCTACTATTTTAATTATTTTTTCCTGAACTTATCCTGAACTGCAGTAAATGTCTTTCTACTGTTGTGCTGTTTGATAGTTTATGGATGTTCATTTAACATTATTGATGTATATTTTACTTTTCTTTGTTGCAGTCATCAAACCTTCCACTCCAAGTGAGTATTGAAGCAAGACAGTATCATGTTTTCTTTTGTCATTAGCACTTACATTTCTAAACGTCTATTTCCTTTAGGCAGATTATTTATGAACCTGAATCACTCGGGGCAGATCCTCAAAGGGCATACATTATTTTACAAGAATCTAGTTAACTCATTACGCTCGCCGATCCCAAGCTGAACTTTTTTCAGAATTGACCTTGGTTTTGAGGTCAACCCAGCTTTCACTAGGTACTATGTAAAGCCCTAGGAAGTAAAGGTGTCAGGCGTGATGTTGACTACACTTTCCATCAACTGCCGATTGGTCTATACAAAATAGATCTAGCTTCACATGCCCAAAACGCCTAAAAGCTTGGAAAAGGGTAGTTAACATGTTTAATCATTACCGTCGTCTATTAGCCATTGCCATCTCAATACTGAGGTCCAGCTGTATTTTAACTCCAGCCAGTTTCTGCCCTGTATATTGATATTATTATTCTAGTCCTCATGTGGGATGCAATTTTTCGTGTGTGTTTTTTTTTAAAGCCCCACGCAGGCTGTTGTCGGGGGCCCTAATAAAACCTTACGGCTGAACGAGGATTCTTTGACTTGTGTCCATGTGATCCTCATCCGAATGGTGGTACTGTATGTCAACGGGTGTTTGGTTGCTCGTTATACAGTGGTGGTGGGACTATCAACATATACGCCCTTTATCTTTATTGTGTACTGAGACAGCACACTCCCAGTGCATCTCTTGACGTATGTGTAATAGTACCGTCCCAAGTTAGACTTTCTCCTCACTGTTTCTTCCACAGCGTAATTAAACAAGAATTTGTGTCTTCATATGTCAGATCTCTTCAAATGACAAGTCTTGATATCCTATAGCAATGTTTTCGTTGACACGTTTTACACTGCATCTTTGTTTTCTTTCTTTATATCTTGCTCTAATATATATATATATATATATATATATATATATATATATATATATATATATATATATATATATATATATATATATATTCTACGCGATCTGTCCGATAAAAATAATATGAGAATGAACACTGAAAAGACAGAATTAATGTCAATAGGAAAAAAGAAGACAGATCTAAACATAACAATAGAATACAAAGGCATTAAACAGGCATCTGAGTTTAAATATCTGTGAACTACATTTACCGAAGATTGGAAATTGGTTAAAGAAATTGACATAAGATGCAGTAAAGCAAACCAAGTATTGGGACAGCTAGCCCCCCTCTTACAGCATAAGACAATCCCAATCAGCACAAAGAGACATCTTATTCAAAGCATATTTATTCCAACTCTGTGCTACCAGTGCCAGACATGGTCACTCACAACAAACCATAAAAGAAAATTAGTAACCATGGAAATGAGATGTCTGAGAAGGGCTGTAGGAGTGACCATAAGAGATAAGATCAGGAATGAGATCATAAGAGAACAAGTCGGCACAGAACCAATTCTGGATTACATACAAAGACAGCAAGTGAAATGGTTTGCCCACTTAGAGAGAATGCCTTGTGACACCATACCATACAAAGCATACATGGAAAGAGAAGAAGGACGTAGAGCACAGGGTAGACCAAGAACAAGATGGAAGGATAACATAAGAGAAACTCTACAACAGCACGATGTGCCTATGGTCGAGGCAGCCAGAAGAGCTAGAAACAGAACCTTATATCTCCCTCGACACCCACAGCGGTAAAAGAGGAAGTGAAGAAGAAAAAGAAGAAGATCTGTCCGAGGCATCGCACGTTTGCCAAGTATCTAAGGAATTTGTTTATGCTTCGCCTACATATACAAAAGTTCTCTAGTTGACAACGTACTACAAACACTTGAAACACAGTGTCAACACCAATAAATTACAAGTCACCTCTTTAAAAGTGCATCGGTTTCTTTATTATGGAAGAAACACGTTACGGCGAAAATGGTCATCGATGACACACTGTCAAGTCTCCTACTGCCTTCCAAAATATTCACCTCTGCAGTTACTTCAGACGTGGACGAAACTCCCCAGCGAACTATGTCCCAGGTGCCTGCATGGACAACTCACGCCCGACCGCGCAGATACACCTATATGATGTACAGTGACCACTCCCTGGATGTTGTCTCTCCAACAGACCTATCAATCTGAGGGTTTAAGGTGGATACACTATACGTTAAAAACGAAATCCAAAAGGAAATCCAGACCGCAGTCTGCTGCCTAGTCACTGAAGCATTGCTGACTACCATTCTGTCAGTCAGGCCCTGATACTTTCCCCACATCACACTCCACGTTAGTTAACACACACGAGGTTCCCGGCACCTTCTGTGCCCTTACAGATACCCCTGTCACTCGCATGCCCAAAGCCGCAAGACTGCCAACCCCACAACCATCCTTTATGGAAATTACACAGACATAATTTGTGAGTCTATCTCACGATCCACCAAACCCATTAGACAATTCACATCAGCTCAAACAGAAGAAAAAACCTTGCTAAAACACACTGGACTTGAACCAAACATGCTCAAACACGACCGCACACTCAGACTGACTGAGAGCACTGACCGGCCACGGGTTAAAATTCAGCTCAGCGGTCAGTCCCTTGCGAAACCTGTGAAGAGTGCTGTCTCCCTTGAATCTGGAGAAACACTACTCCCACATTTTAGAGCCGTGTGGACCTTTTGCACTCGCCTCTGGCATCATCATCATCTATCTCGCTGGTGCAGGCGATCACGCCTCTGATCCCTGGTACAATTAAATAGCGAAGTGCTTTAGCACACAAATAAAGATAGACAGACAGACAGACAGACAGACAGACAGACAGACAGACAGACAGACAGACAGACAGACAGACAGACAGACAGACAGACAGACAGACAGACAGACAGACAGACAGACAGACAGACAGACAGACGGACGGACGGACGGACGGACGGACGGACGGACAGACAGACAGACAGACAGACAGACAGACAGACAGACAGACAGACAGACAGACAGACAGACAGACAGACAGACAGAGAGGTAAGTAGGTAGGTAGGTAGGTATGTAGGTAGGTAGGTAGGTAGGTAGGGAGGTGGGTGGGTGGGTGGGTGGGTGGGTGGATAGGTAGGTAGGTAGGTAGGTAGATAGATAGATAGATAGATAGATAGATAGATAGATAGATAGATAGATAGATAGATAGATAGATAGATAGATAGATAGATAGATAGATAGATAGATAGATAGATAGATAGATAGATAGATAGATAGATAGATAGATAGATAGATAGATAGATAGATAGACAGATAGATAGATAGATAGACAGATAGATAGATAGATAGACAGATAGATAGATAGACAGATAGATAGATAGATAGATAGATAGATAGATAGATAGATAGATAGATAGATAGATAGATAGATAGATAGATAGATAGATAGATAGATAGATAGATAGATAGATAGATAGATAGATAGATAGATAGATAGATAGATAGATAGATAGATAGATAGATAGATAGATTAGATTAGATTAGATAGATAGATAGATAGATAGATAGATAGACAGACAGACAGACAGACAGACAGACAGACAGACAGACAGACAGACAGACAGACAGACAGACAGACAGACAGACAGACAGACAGACAGACAGACAGACAGACAGACAGACAGACAGACAGACAGATAGATAGATAGATAGATAGATAGATAGACAGATAGACAGATAGATAGATAGACAGATAGACAGATAGACAGATAGACAGATAGATAGATAGATAGATAGATAGATAGATAGATAGATAGATAGATAGATAGATAGATAGATAGATAGATAGATAGATAGATAGATAGATAGATAGATAGATAGATAGATAGATAGATAGATAGATAGATAGATAGATAGATAGATAGATAGATAGATAGATAGATAGATAGATAGATAGATAGATAGATAGATAGATAGATAGATAGATAGATAGATAGATAGATAGATAGATAGATAGATAGATAGATAGATAGATAGATAGATAGATAGATAGATAGATAGATAGATAGATAGATAGATAGATAGATAGATAGATAGATAGATAGATAGATAGATAGATAGATAGATATTCGTCGATTCAAAAAGCTTTAATTTTGTGTTTATAAAACTGGACTGTCGACTGCACAGTGCACCAGTTAAGTTTCTTAGGTGTGTCCCGGGCGTACTGTCGGTACTGGAAAAAAATTGTCCTGTATAATAAAAATCTAGGAATAAGCTAGACAATAGAACATACACTTATACTTACATCTATCATCATCATCTTTAGGTATCTTGCCGACTGGCGTGGGCGATCATGTCTCTCCATAATCTACGATCTTCTGCAGCATGTATCAGTTTGTGTGCTGACACACCTCTACGCCATGCAACAAGACTGTCAAGAATCTTCTCTCATTGTCTTCCTCTATCCCTTCTTCCTCAGATCTTTCCAGTGGTCACAACATGTTCTGTTTTCTCTCTTCTCATAACATGGCCGAAAAATGATGACTGTCTCCTTATAATGTCTGTGATAAGTTGTCTTCGGGCTCCCGCCTCTTTCAAAACTCCTTGGTTGCTATTTTTGGCTGTCCAAGGTATTCTAAGCATTCTTGTGTAAAAACCACATCTCTGAGGTCTCAAGAAATTGTTTGGCCTGCCTACCGATTGTCCAGGATTCACAGCCATATCTTAAAACTGGATGTATGTAGCAAGCAAGAAATCTTTTTCAAACTCCCAATGACAAGGATATATTGCACAAGATATTCTTCAATTTATAAAATGCAGTTTTTGACTGTCCTATTCTGTTTCCATTCTGTAGACTATTATATTTGTTTACTCTTAAATACTTTCAATGCCTTAAATATGTTGATGGCTAAAGGGGAAATTTATGTCAGTAGTATAGAATCAGTTTGAAAAAAAAAAATAATACTATTTAATGAAAACGATCTCTTGCGCAGCTCTTCGTGCCTGCAGCGAGATGGCAGACATCATATTTGTATTCGATTCCTCAAGCGCCGTCACGGTGGAAGATTACCAAAAGCAGCTTCTGTTTGCCAGTAACGTCACCCAAGATTTCGACCTTGGACCCATCGATGCTCAGTTTGCCGCCATTGCCTACAGTAACGATGTGTTTAAAGTGTTTGATTTGGACCAGTTCTCTGATTACCTCAACCTATTTAACGTAAGCGATTCTTTCTGTGGTGTGTCTGTAGTTTATGACAGTGACTATGGCTATTATTGGTACTAGTCAGAAAATGTAAAGATATGTTTCAGGCATCGGCAACATACGGTGCCTGTGACAAGTCTGGCCTGTGGAAAGATCGTTATAAGCACTTTGACTGAATTGAACCTTGGTGTCTCCGTGGCTAAGTGTTAAAGTCCTTTACCTCGAGCTCTGAAGGTTATGGTTTTTTCAGGAACGGCTTCGCTCGGTTCGCCATTTCTCTTTTTATGGATTTCCCTGGAGAGCTACAGTGTGTACCTGTCTTTGCGACGTTGTTAATTCCTCTTTGCTTTAAACTTCCAAGAAGCCTTTTTTGCTAACATGTATAGAAACATAATTCTATTAAAAATAATATAATTTTATTTAAATCTTACTTCTTCTTTCTTTTATCAAAATCTGCTTCATAGTGCTAGGTGTCACAATTTAACGCCATGGGTGCTCGGTTGCTGGGTATGCCGTTTTGAGCTGTCGATACTCCTTCAGTCCAGCTTCTTCTAAGTCTCTCTCTGGGTAGATGTATAGTGTGATGGTATAATCCAGGCGCTCCGTGGATTAAATGGTCAACAACAAAAAAACTACCATATGGAGCTTCTGGACTTTTGCTATTTGAGTCATTGGTGGTGATTCAGGGTCTCTGTGGTGGCTCTGGATTTTAGCTTTTTGAGTCATTGGTGGTGATTCAGGGTCTTTGTGGTGGCTCTGGATTTTGGCTTTTTGATTTATTGGCGGTGATTCAGGGTCTTTGTGGTGGCTAGGCTTCTTTTCTTTTTTTTTTTTTTGGTGGGGGGGGGGGGGGGGGGTCTTTTGTAGTGGCTCGGGGTCTTGGTAGTGGTTCGGGTTTTTTGCTGTTTGGGTCATTGGTGACTCGACTGTTGGGTAGTGGTTGGTAGTTGTTGTTTTATTTCTTTTCTTTTTTTTTTTTTTTTTTTTTTTCAATATATTTAGGGCTATTTGTCGAGGTTGGGGGTCTTTGTTGCGAAGTATTTTTCTTTGTTGCATTTTTGATGGATCGGATTTTCTTCTTTAGCTATGGGTAGTAGCTCGGGGTGTTGTTGTTGTTTTTTTTTGTTTTTTTTTTTCTGGGTCCATTACGATGGTTTGATTGTTTGGTTGTGGCTCTGGTGTGTTTATTAAGGGAGGGGAAGGTGTTTGTGTGTGTGTGTCATGGTGGGGGGTAATTTTTTCTATGAGGATGTTGGTAAACTCAAAGAGATAGGAATTTCCCTGGTAATTTCCCTTCGATAAGCACCAACGAGATACAGGAGAAGTGTATACACACTTTCCAGACCATCGGTTCCCAGAAATAATCTTTCTCTGTGAGATACCAGCAGGTTGAGTCTCACATGGCGGCTGTGAAAAAGCAATTGTTTCAATGATACGCCAGGGGCATTATTTAAAGCTTTCAGTAAAACCCCGAAACTCGGGAGGCTGCTGCACAGGACCGGACTGTATGGGAAACATCTGTCAGAAGAGGCGCAGCAACTTACAATGCATCTAGAAAACAAAAAAGGCAGCTGAACATCGAGAACAGGCTTAAAAGAGCCGTATGACAGACCCTTTGCTTACACTTTTTGTTCCCTGTCCTCCTTTTCCTAGATCCGTCAGGGCCTGTATGTCGTGGGTTCGCTCCCTGGCGGAGCCGGACTGTTTTCAAAAATGACCTTGGCTTCCAGGTCGACCCAGCCTTGAGTGAGTACCGGGTGCAGTCCCGGGAAGTAAAGGCGGCCGGCGTGATGCTGACCACATCACCTATCTTGTGCCAATTTGTCTATAAAATATAGGTCCAGCCCTATATGCCCCATACGCCTAAAGGCGTGGAAAAGGGTCCTTTACTTTTTTTTCAGGGCCTGTTTAACGTTTACAAGTCACCTCCGGACTCAGAGAAAATCAACTATAGTTTCATGATGGATGAAAGAAAGACTGGTCCTTATCATCTGTGATGAGCAAACAACACGTAATATGCACCAGACCATATAGAAAATGTACAAGGCAATATATTGTGTAATATATTGTTTTATTCTTTAATATTCACATTTAAAAAATCCTAAATACTTTAAATCACTTGTTTTCTACTCAAAATTCACAATGTAATTATTTAATCATAATTTCAAATAGGGGGTGGAGATAAACGACAAAATTCTAAGCATAAATTTGATTGTAACGTTGCAGATACATAAAAACTGTCCTACTCTTCACTGTCGCTCTGCCTAACTCCTTCATCTTTTTCTTCTTTCTCTCCTTCTCCTCCTCCTTTTTCTTATTGTTCCTATTCTTTTTTTTTTTTTTTTTTCTTTTTTTTTTTTTTTTCTGATATTCCTACTTCTCGTGCTTCTGCTGGTGTAATAATATTGTAATAACGATAGAAGCTAAAAAAGTTCTTACCGTCAGCTTTATTCGGAAACAGTTAATTCTCTGCCATTAAGATCACTACATAAATGGCTACAACCACCCACTCGTTAATTGTAGACAACCCTTACCAGCTGGCAGGTTTACGAGTTAGTCCAAGATGCAGACACTAGGGATACTCAACATTCAGCCCTAACTTGTAATTAATCAGTAGTTGTCATAATGTGTTAATGAGTAGCTGTCGTAATGTGTTAATGAGTAGCTGTCATAAAGTGTTAATGAGTAGCTGTCATAAAGTGTTAATGAGTAGCTGTCGTAATGTGTTAATGAGTAGCTGTCATAAAGTGTTAATGAGTAGCTGTCGTAATGTGTTAATGAGTAGCTGTCATAAAGTGTTAATGAATGGTTGCTTTGTTGTGTCAATGAGTTGTTGTCATATTGTGTTAATGAGTGGTTGTCATATTGTGTTAAGGAGTAGTTGTCATAAAGTGTTAATGAGTAGTTGCCCTAAACTGTTAATGAGTAGTTGTCATAATGTGTTAATGAGTAGTTGTTATAGAGTATTAATGAGTAGTTGTCATGATGTGGTAATGAGTAGTTGTCATAATGTGTTAATGAGTAGTTGTTATAGAGTATTAATGAGTAGTTGTCATGATGTGTTAATGAGTAGTTGTCATAATGCGTTAAAGACTGGTTGTCATAACAAGCTAATCTGTAGTCGGCATACTGTGTTAGTCAATAACTGCCATGATGCGTTCATCAGTAGTTTACGTGATATGTTGAAGGGTCACTTTTACATTGTCTGTGTGTAGATTATATAATGTATGATCAAGACTTGAAAACATCTGTTTGTCAGTAGACTACAAACTGTGTAAACCAAAAACTGACAAGCTGTACAGATCAGCGGTGGAATTAATATGCTAGTATAAATTTAATTGTATACGTTAATCAGTAGCTGACATAATACATCTCATCTACCAGGGATTACTAGCTTCCCCACATCTGACTGGATCGACCGACACTGGCTTGGCACTGAACTGGATTACTGATGCAGGGATGTTTGGACCTGCCTACGGAGGCCGCCATAATGCATCCAAAATTATCATACTTTTTATAAATAATCCATCCAGCGATGCCACAGAAGGTCGGTTGAGTTGTAAATGTTCATAAATTGCAAATCGAACAAAATTTAATTTAACTCTCATTAAAGCAAGTCTACAGTAAACTGTTGGCATGCAGCAAAACCTCGCCTGCTATTTGTATAAATATGAGTTTTAAAAAATGAGCTGATCACAAAAAAATACTAAAAGCAACAAAAAATATGACTGGAAAGCTTTACGGAGGGAATTGAACTTTTTGGTTTCATATTGATTTTGGTTGTTTAGAAACTGTTGTCTTGTGCATTGAGATTTCTAGTCACAGTTTATGTTGTATTTGCTACTCCTTTGATAAAGACTTTCGTCGAAACCTTCGATTATATTTGTGGTTGACTTTTCGTTCTCTCCACTGAGCTTTCTAGTACCATTTCGTTGTTGTATTTAGAGTTGTTTATGTAATTGAATGCCCAGTGGCTGTCACATAGCAGATATTGCCACTGAGATACAGTTTTTGGTAACAGTAAATAACCGTTGCTCTCTCCTTGATGAGGTATTTGGGTACGTCATGCTAGCCGTGTAGTTTACACTAATGTGCAGTGGGTTGATGGTGTGATCAATATCACACCCACCTCATGTTTTTGTTTTCTCATGAAATGTTCTGGCACTAATTTAGGCTATGTCGACAGGGATCTCTGGTCAACTATTGAAACAAGCTCCACTGTAATAGCGAATATGACACCAGTTTACGCTGTGTCGACAGGGATCTCTGGTCAACTATTGAAACAAGCTCCACTGAAATAGCGGATCTGACACCAGTTTACACTATGTCGTCCTGAGATCACTGGTCGAATATTGAAACAAGCTCCACTGAAATAGCGGATCTGACACCAGTTTACGCTGTGTCGACAGGGATCTCTGGTCAACTATTGAAACAAGCTCCACTGAAATAGCGGATCTGACACCAGTTTACGCTGTGTCGACAGGGATCTCTGGTCAACTATTGAAACAAGCTCCACTGAAATAGCGGATCTGACACCAGTTTACACTATGTCGTCCTGAGATCACTGGTCGAATATTGAAACAAGCTCCACTGAAATAGCGGATCTGACACCAGTTTACGCTGTGTCGACAGGGATCTCTGGTCAACTATTGAAACAAGCTCCACTGAAATAGCGGATCTGACACCAGTTTACACTATGTCGTCCTGAGATCACTGGTCGAATATTGAAACAAGCTCCACTGAAATAGTGGATCTGACACCAGTTTACGCTGTGTCGACAGGGATCTCTGGTCAACTATTGAAACAAGCTCCACTGAAATAGCGGATCTGACACCAGTTTACACTATGTCGTCCTGGGATCACTGGTCGAATATATTGAAACAAACCTTACTGAAGTAGCAGATAGTTCAATGTCACTACATTAAGAGATTAAAAAGTCCCCTTCCTTTGCTTCCCATGCAATTTCAAAAAACCCGATGACAATTATTTGAAATCTAGGCCGTAAATCTGGGTCTTGTACAAGACTACATGAAACAAAAAATTCGTGACGCCGATTAGCATTCGTCTTCCTCTTCTTGTTCGCGTTCACTGGCTGCAAACTGTTGTGAAAAGTTCTGGTTGTTTGTAAACTTCTGGACTCTAGTCCAGTTCCAGAACCTGACTGTGTACATCCGTTTCACAGATCTGATTCATATGTAAGTAGACTGTTGGCTCCTTGCCTGTCAGGCAGATATACTGCTACTTGGAAGGAAGCGACTAGTTAGTCAACGCTTGCGAAATGCTTTTGGTAAGGCAGTGGGTCTCTGTGATCTCATCAAGATAGCAAGTTTGAAACAAGAAGGAGTAAAAGGACAGTTATAAAGAAAAGTAGAGACAGCATTCAAACAACTACCGCTTGTGGTGTGGAATACTGAGGATGCATATAGTGTATATAAAACCACCTTGCTTAGTATTGCTAAAAAAACGTGTGGAAAGATAAAGAGAGGAATCAGTCTTAACAACAGATATTCTCCTTAGTAGTGTGAAGAAGTAAAAGAAGCGGTTGAAAATGAAAAAAATAAAAAAGACTAAGCAGTGGATAAAATCGAAGAGAGAAGATGACCTCTATTTTGATTCCATCTGTCTTTATCATGTGCTCTCTCTCTCTCTCTCTCTCTCTCTCTCTCTCTCTCTCTCTCTCTCTCTCTCTCTCTCTCTTTCGCTTTCTGTCTGTCTTTCTCTTTAACAAGATGTCTTTCCGTTTTTTTTTTATTCTCTTACTCCATCTTTACTCATATCTCCTTCTTTATAATTCACTCTCTCTTTCTTTCTCCTCTATCATTGTCTTTTTCTTTTTTCTTCTGTCTCGCTCTCTGCCTTACCACCTATTTTCCTTTTTCCCTATCACTCTATCTTTCAAACTACACTATTGTCATAATGTTTCAATATTTTTTATGTTTATTTTATCAATATAACCAAAACCTTATTGAAAAAGTAAAATTTAGTCACCCTGAAAAGGCCTTTGTGGCAGACTGGTTTATGCTGTGAGCTACGGGGAACAGCAGAAAATCCTCTTAAGAAGATTTCCTCTGTTCCTTCTCTGGGTCGGTGATGTCTTCTTATGCTGCTCTTCGGTTGCTGCTTTCCTCCTCTTTGACGCCCATCCAAAAACAGATCTTCTCTTACTTCTGGGTTTCACCAGTTCTGGCGTTGTCACAGGTTCAGTGAAATCTGTTGATGGACGCCCAAAGTACTTGAAAAAGGCATTCAGGCTTAGCGTCTGGAGAGACATGGGACTTGTGAAGAGCTCGAAGGCTTTCGGTCGCCTATCATGAATGGCGGCTACGATGTCTTCAATATGCCGCTGCCTTAACAGTGCAGGGTTGGCAATCTCTTCTTTAGCAACCAGAGCCGGTTCGGCTGCCGGCTCAATAGAAAATGTTTCCAGCGGAAATTCTTCTTCTTGTTTTTCTTCTGCTGGTTGAAGAGCTGGGGCATCACCGGACTGCCCATCCTGAAGAATAATTTCAAAATCCTCAGTCTGCCGGCTCAATAGAAAATGTTTCCAGCGGAAATTCTTTCTTTTTAACCGTCCCAAGGCTAGGTTCTTAAATCTATTTTCCATAGGGTGATCTGGCATACTGAGGAATTTTTCAGCTTGTATTCGCAACTTTGCATCTCTGCGTTCTCTCAGTGCCTGTGTTTTCCCAGCTTTCTCCATTTCTAATATGGGGGTTGATTTCATCCCTCCTGTGATGACTCTGAGCGCTTGATTTTGCACTTTGTCTAACTCCTTTAATGTGGTACTAGATGCTGAACACCATGCAGTTGACCCATATTCCAAGTGTGGAAGTATGCTCTGCTTGTTACTTTATTGAGTATTTTCCCATCTGCTCCCCATGTGGTTCCACCCTTTTTTATTTCCATGGCGTGTATGTATGGCATCCTGATTGCTGTGGTGCGCCTCTTGGCCTCCGACTTCAGCACCTTGTTTTGCTAGGGTAGACTGTGATCATACTCGAGGAGAGTAGGCTCATCCATTCGTCTTTCGCCTTAACCTCGTTTGTTGTCCCATCCAGTTTCCCGCTGGGGGTTGAGATCCCAACCTTCAACTGGATTGCTGGGAAGAACAGGGTCCACCACGTGAAGGTGAGGTAGGCTTGAGCAAGAGAGGCTAATAGACATTAAGAGTCTTGTATTGCGCATCATTGCTCCATTAGGACCCCACCTTGGCTAAATGGTAGCCGCTGTCTTTGTCTTTAAAACTTGCCCTTAAGTTGCGGGGCAGAAGTTTTCTTGTAGACAGGTACAGGTGCAGCATTTGATCTTCGTCGATAAACTCAGATTCGAAGGCTTCCATAATCATTTTGAAAATGCGTTCAGCGATTAATAGTAACTGTGTGCATCCAACCTTGGATCACAACACCCTGCGAGTCTGAGTCAGTGACTAGATCATAAGTTCCTAGAACAACCATTCCTCTCAAGGTTTTTATGCTCTTATATGTCAGCGGAGCGTAGACAATCACCCAATTATCGTCACATCCTACTATTATGTGCCACTCTTGCAGCTGACCTTGTCTTCCCTTATTTTTTCACATGTCGACTCTCCCCCCCCCCCCCCCCAAAAAAAAACATCCCTCCCCTCCCGTTTGTCCTAAGACTACTTAGCATTCAATGGTCGATGGAGTGGTCGATAGCAGCACCGGCCGTCTTTACTCCCCATGATATTTTCCTATACCAATTGTCGGTTCGGTCGATCTAGCACAGCTATCGCTTCTTTCTCCTTTTCCTCTTGTTCATCTCCTTTTTGTTTTTCTTCTTCTTCTTCTCTTCATATTTTCTGCTTCTTCTCCTCCTTCTTATTCTACTGTCTTCTCCTCTTCCTACATTTTTCCTGTTCTGCGTGCGTGAATTACTGTGTTTGTTGCATCTATAATTTGCTATCTTTACCGCATGTAGAATTTGTTGTCTTTGCAGCACGTATGAATTACCTACTGCCTTTACTGCATGTGTGAATTACTGTCTTTACGGCATGTGTAAATTACTGTCTTTAAGACATGTATGAGTTACTGTCCTTACGGAATGTATGAATGTATGTCAGTCGTTATCAACCATGAATTTTTCAAAGCGAGAATTTTGCGTATTGTATCGGTTTTTATCGCCTAAATCAAATCTCTTACCAGTTCAGACACATGACAGCAATGTGTTCCACCGCTGGCCGGTTCTGGACCACTTAGTGGTGAATTGATGTATGACAAGCTAGATATTGTAAGGGCCCTTTGGGAACGAGTGAACAGTGCGGATTTCAGATAGATTACTACGGTCTGAGGAGTTACCAGGGGATGTGGCCGACGCTCAACACTCAGGGGAAGGATGAGACGGATATAAAATTTGACGGCTACTGGTGCCATCGGAATTGGAACTTTTCGCTTGCTGCTGAAGATGGGGACAGAGCACTTATGGGAGTGTCCCGAGTGCTGTGATGTCGATTCCTAATTCAACATTCAACATCTGTGAATTACAGTCTTGACGCATATGTAGTGAGAATTGCTGTCTTTCCAGCATGTA